GGCCACCCTCCCGCTCCCCCCCCCCCCCCCCGCCCTCATTAGCCAGCAACATCTTTGGTCTGTGAAAAGGAGAAAACAAAAAAGGGGGTCTGTAGCGGAAAAAAAACTAAAAAAACTCACATGGTCTACTGCGTGGAATTTCCCTCGGTACCGAAACACCAGAACTTGATCTCTCAGCTCGTCTCCCGCAACGGGCGACTCTAGACTCTCGGGGCAGACGTGTATCTCGGACGCCTGCGACGGCTGGTCTTTGGGAACGTGGAAAATTTTGCACCCCGGCGTGAGCTGGGCGTCGCAGAGCCGCGGCTGGATGAGGCTGGCGGCGTCTTCGCCTAGATTCGGGAACGACGACGCCGGGCCGGCGGGGATCCAGCTTGTGTCCGGACGGGATCTGAGCCAGTTCATTTCCGAGGGCTTTGGTCGGGCGGGCGCTGCCTTGGGCTGGGGCTGGGGTTTTGTGGTAAGAAGAGACGTCGACATGTCGGTGCTCCCGGCGCCGTCAGCAGTGGGTTGTGGAACCCCCGATCGCCGGGCTGGTTGCGGTCCCTCCTCCCGGCGCAAGGATGTGATGCCGACGGAATGGAAAAATACCCGTAGATTTACACGTCTCTTGTGGAAATTATACTTTTATTCTAAAGTATATGTACGCGCCGCAGATATGGTGGTTTTGTCAGGTGGTGCACAGGACTTGGAGAGAAGCGCTCGGTGCCAGATCCTGTTGAGACCAGCCATGCTGTTGCATATCCCCAGTTGCAAGCGAGATGGCCGAGAGGACTGGGACCGTCGAAAGCATCACCACGTGTCTAGTAGATTGGGACTACGGCGTAAGAAATCACACATATGACATAGCTTGAACCAGTGCTCAGTTATAGCATGGTACCTGATTCAATATGGCAAGACGCGCCCAGGTCATCCATCAGTCGAGCAAGTCTTGATTTTACAACACCTTGACAGTAGATGAGTTGACACCGGTCTAGGGTGTCTACAAAAGGACTGACGCACTGTACTTCGCTGCTTGCACACCCAGGGCTCTGTGAGTTATTTGCTTACAAAGGACCGAGTAGTCAAATCAAATAGAGGAAGTGGTGCTCGATATGGCGGGTGTCGAGAAAGGGTGACAATGAGAAGGGCTTACAGCCGGCCAAGGCGTTGGGCTTTCAAAGTAAGACACCAAGACGGTTGAAAAATGATGTAAAGTCGTACCATGTTTGCAATATAAAAACGCCTAAACACACTTGTACGCCCGCGAGGGTATCACAGCTACATTATGGATTATGGACCGCCTCTAGCCCGTAGCAGTCTCTGGTTTCTGCGCAAACGCATTCGTCCTATAAGCACATTAGCATACTGAGCTTGTCAGGAAAAACGAGTTCGAATAAAGCAGGCATGCTTACACAAGATAGTAAGGCCGGCTCTTAGTATTCCGCAGCGCACTTCGCATCTCGGCCAAGAAGACCTGGACGCGCGCGTACTCCCAGCCCATGATCTCTCTCAAGAGGAACAACGCGAACCCCTCCAGGCTGTCTTCCATAAAGGTCAGATTGTACAGTCCAATCTGTTTGTAGGTATGGTCGGTACTCCATCCGCCTACCGGCACCTGGTAATACTTTTGGGTGATGTTCTCGAATCCCGCTTCGCGCATGTATCGTGTTATGCGGCCGTTCATGCCGATTCGCAAGCTCCTGCCCATCCGGTCACCCGCCTCCATGAAGACGGTGCCCCACCGCTTGAAGATGTGATCAGGGTCGTCTCTGATTTCGGGCAAGTCGCTGTGAAGGGTGATGGTGAATTCAAAATCTTCTAGCCATCCGCCGGGTTTGAGGGCCGTGTACGCCTGCCGGTAGAGCCGCGGCCAGTCACTGATACTTCCGTATAAGGCGCGCATGTGGATAAAGTCAAAGGTGGAGGGGCTGAAGGTCCAGTCGAGCTGTGCGTCTTCGATCTCAAAGGTGAGATTTTGAGGCACCCACACTGGTTGGATGGGGCTGATGTCTGTGCCGATGATCTCAGAGGACGGGTAGGCGTCGGCCATGTCGATGGCCCAGATGCCCGTTCCGGTGCCAACGTCGAGGATTTTGGTTGGTCTCTCGGGGATTGGCGCCTCGAAGAGTCGGTCGCCCAGGAGCAGGGTAATGAAGTGGTGGGCAATGTCAAGCCCTAGGTTTTGTGTGTCATCATTTGGACCCCAGTATTCGGTGGTGCTGGAGTTCTGGTACGTGCGACCATGGAGGTTGCGGTAGTTGTAGATGCTTTCGTTTAGGGAAACAGTCGATGACAGAATACTTTTCGATTCAGTTAGAAAATTGACTTGGTTTGCCAATGAATAATGCAGCCCGTTTCGTACCTGCCCTCGTCGCCCAGCGCCGAGTCGGTATCGTCGTCAGTCCATCTCTACAGGTTGATCAAGAGTCAGTTTTTCGTCATTGGCAACCGAACTGGTACGGGTAACTTCGTACAAACGGGATTTGCGTATTCCTAGGGCGGTCGTCGGTGAGCACGGGAGGCGCAGGGTCGCTCGCAGGTGAGAGAGGCTTGGGCGACGGAGACTGCCTCGCCTTATCTGGCATCTTGGGGCTAGACATGATTTCGGTCGCTTCGTGGTCTACAACGAAGTCGAAGAACGGGGGTTTTGCTCTATGGCTTCCGAGAAGCGCATGATAGGACAACTCTGGTGAGAATGCCCATTTGAACAGAGTCGTGGAGAAGCGGTTGAGGTCAGGCGTCAATAGTCTTTTGCTTTGCTCAAGGTCGCAAGCAAAAAGGTAGTCAAGACAATGATGGGTGGTGCAAATGATAAAACAGTCGAGCATTGATGGGGGATTTAACTCGGATTGCCCAATCAGTCCCTCGCCGATGGATACGCAAGCTGGTGCGTCCTCGTGTCTTGTGTCTCCCGTGCCAAGTGTTCCAGACCAAACATTGCACCTTTTCGATTTCTTGAGTGTGCCCCAGCAGTATTATTACATCCGACCAGCATCAGGCCATTGAAAAGTAACGGCTCTTGATGTGGAAACGGCGGCGGCCATGAGCCGAGATTGGTTGTGGGCGTCAGCTACTCCGTAGACTTGTGGCGTTTCCGTCCGTCTGTCATAAATCAATGTCTCGGGTAAAGTTTGTTATGTACAATGCGGAAGTCTGCATGAGGTTGCAGTCAGCAAAGTCCACGAATGTCCAAGGTGGGGCAAGAATCGACTTTCGGAACACCACGACGCCGTGCAGCCAATGACGACAAATTAAGTGGAGTGCGCACCTATCGAATCACTGATACTCTCAGTCAACCAATAGGAGGGAACTGTGGTGCCGCTAAGGGAAAGCTAAACCGGATTTCACTTTGTTGTTGAAGAGCAAAGGAATTTCCTTGGCGCGGAGCTATCACCGATTCACCGACACGTCAGTCCAAACTAGCTTCCAAACCGAGCCAAGGTTTGCGGCGCTGCATCGGTATGTTGCCACCATTCCCGCCCAACTGTTCAGCCCATCGTCGGTTTCCTCTTGCAGCGAGGTTGCAGCGGCCTCGTGGTCCGGGTGGGAAACAAAGGGCCTTGTGAATCGGACCCCCCCAGGAGGCAAGGGGGCTCCGCGAGTCCACCATGCAGAAACCATGCTGCCACTGGCTACCAATGGCAACACGCAATGTCTGAAAAGGGCCAAGTCGTGGTTGGACCGTAATACACTGCTGCATCAACCCATGTCGTGTCCGACAGGGAGGCCATTCGATTCCACGCCTTCGGGGCCACTGATTATATGGTCCTGGGGCGAGGTCATGGCCACAATTCCAAATCCGCGGCGAGGATATTGTATGAGCATGGAGTGGTTAGTGACTTTTTTCGCTTTCGGCATCGCATTCCACATCTGTCAGTCCGTGTGCTGATTTTGTCGTGATGCAGCTGACATCGCTGGCGCTGGGCCTCATCGGCCTGTATATTCTGAGACTGACATGGCAATTTTTAAAGCTCAGAAGATTTGCGGGCCCGCCATGGACAGGTCTTAGCAATATTCCTCACAGCCGAGCCATGCTTCGCGGGGACTGCCACAGGTGGTATGCTGATGTGAACAGGAAATACGGTCAGTAGCAACACATCCATCCAGCTGCTGCCAAATTGTTAACCTTGGTGACTTGGGACATCATCAGGCCCCATTGCGAGGGTAGCTCCGAATGTCCTCATCACCTCATCTCCCGAGGTTTGGACACACGTAAACAACACTCCGGGGTACCGACGCTCGCCGTGGTACTACAACGCATGCCGCATCGAGTACCGCCGCGATAATGTCTTTAGTGAGACTGACAACGAAAAGCACGACCGGAGGAGAAAGCAAATGGCCCCCGGCGTATGTCGATATATCCCCTTCATCCACACGTCACCCAAGACAAGAGAGCCCTGGGGCAGGGGCGCATTGAGTTTAATCCCACTGACGACGGCCTGCGACAGTACTCTGGCAGAGAGAACCTTGATCTCGAAGCCTCCATAGACGAATGTCTAAGCCAACTCATACATCTTATCCGTAGTAAATATGTCTCCTCCACAGATAATGCACCGCACATGGATCTAGCCACAAAAATCCAATTCTTGACCCTCGACGTCATCAGCAAGGTCGGGCTCGGCACGGCCTTTGGCATGCTCCAAGCCGACCACGACATCGACGACTATCTCAAGTCCAGCGCCGAAGGTCTCACCGTTGGTAACACAGCCTTGGCCATGGGGTTCAGCTGGCTCGCCCACTCGCCCGTCATCGGGAAATTCATCGCCCCTTCGCCCAAGGACAACAACGGGTTTGGCAAGATGATGGCCACGTGTTTCCGGTACGTGGACCAGCGCGCCGCCAACCCGACAGACAAGCGGTCCGACATGCTGGCGTCGTTTATCCGACACGGCCTGTCTGGCGACGAGTTGAGGACCGAGGCTCTGGAGCAGATCATCGCAGGGTCCGACACCACGGCCACGGCTATTCGGGCGACGCTGCTTCACATCATGACCAATCCGCGCGTCTACGCCAGGCTGCAGCGTGAGATTGACGAAGCCGTGCGTGACGGCCGGGCGCCCGCGCCTGGAGACCGTCTCATATCTGCCGCGCAGGCGAAGCAGCTTCCCTACCTGCAGGCTGTTGTGCGGGAGGCCCTCCGCGTTCACCCTCCCGTCACCAACATCTTTTCTCGCGACGTCCCGGCGACCGGTGACATGGTGACCATTAGCAGCAGTGATGGAACAAAGGCCTTCTTGCCTGGCGGCGTGTCTATTGGCTACTCGGCATACGCCATGCACCGCGACAAGGAAATCTACGGCGACGATGCGGACGCTTTCCGGCCAGAGCGTTGGTTCGAGGCAGATGAGGCTAAATTACGCGTCATGACGGCCACCAACGAGCTCATTTTCGGACATGGCAAGTTCCAATGCCTCGGGAAGAGGGTCGCTCAGGTTGAAATTGGAAAGTTGATATTCGAGGTGAGTGCACCAAAGAAAGAAAGAAAGAAAGGGGGCGGGTGGACCTGTTGTGTGAGATGTGAAAAAAAAAGAGACATGCTGGGCTAACTCTGAAGTCTAGACGTTTCGCAACTTTGACATGGCGGTAGTTGACCCGACCCGGCCGTGGACACTGCAGAATTGCCTCGGGTTGCTTCACATAACAGACATGTGGGTGCAGGTTTCAGAAAGGACGGTTGCCTAATCATCAACGACGGAGATAATGATGAACGTGCCAGAGGTCTCGCCTTGCAAAGCGAGCAGTTTCATGAATGCATGTATCCCACAGCAGGAAAAATTGGCCACCCGCCATCCACAGGCGGATACTAGTATACACAAAAAGGTTACAGAGTCCATGAATGATAAACATCAATCCCTCGCTGATTTTTGAGAAATCCACCTACGGCCTTGCTACCTTGCGACTCTTCCACGTCCTCACGCGGAACAGGTAGTACAGCGTTGCCGTGCCGAAGACGTTGAACACCAGGTAGCACCAGAATATGCCGTAATTGCGCCACCGCTCATCCCAGTAGATCCGGCGAGCCGCCAGGTACTGATCCGCAGAGGAGAGAGCGCAGTACTCGCATCCAGAAGTCGCGTCGGGGTTGTAGAGCGTGCCGGGAGCCTTCTCCAGGAACACGGCCAGGTACGCACCACACGACTGCCCAGGGGGCGGATCTAATACGCTCATCTCGCCCTCGGAGCACACGACGCTGCGTGCGTGAAGCGCCGCGCCGGCGAGGCCGCTCACATAGTACGTAAAGGGGGAGACGCGCCACATGAAGATCCAGAAGCCTGGCAGAGCATCGGGCGGCTGCATGACGCCGTTGAAGATGAAGGACATGCCGAACATGAGCACTGCCAGCATGGCTCCCAGCGCCGGGTCCGGAATCGCGGCCACCACCATCTGCGCAATCGTGGCCGCATACATGTAGAACTGAACGACAAAGAGGAGGATCAAGCCCAGGGTGTCTGATGTGCCGCCGGTGCCGAACACGGGAAAGTAGAAGCATGCCCATGCGCAGATGCCCAGGAGGACCTGCCAGGGCACTTCGACGAGCATCTGGGACAGAATGAAGACTTTCCACGAGTAGACCCTCGACGGGCGCTCGCGGACTTCGTACAGGGCGCGCTGGGCCACGAATTTGGGCATGATCTGGTTGACCAGGGTCGGGAAGATGGTTGCCAGCAGGAAGACGCCAAACAGGGCGTTTTGAAACCCTTGCTGGGTGCGGTCGGCCTTCCAGAAGGAGAATCCTATGAACAGGCCCGAGGCGATACCCAGGGCGAACTTGGTGAAGATGTATTCTGGCTGTCGAAAGTATTGCCTAAACGCACGACCAGCGACGTGGACAAACTGGGCGTGCAAGGGCTGGGCAAACTCGTGGGATACATCCTGATCTGTTGTACTCGCGGCGCGAGAGACGACCTGCTGCCTGTTTAGAGCCTCTAATTCTTCAAGCACCTCGCTGTGCTCCGGGCTTTTGCTCCATTGCTCTGCCCAGTCAATGCCAGTGTCGTCCCTCCCGGATACCATTTCCAGTATATATTCGGCAGGATTCTCTCGCTCGCCGCATCGTCTTACCCCCGCACGAGAAAAGTAATCAATCAGAGTGCTGGACTTGAGCCCCAAGTCTCCAAAATATACAGTCTTGCCTCCTTGTGCCAAGAACAAGAGGCGGTCGAATGTTTGGAACAACAGAGCGCTGGGCTGGTGGATTGTAGCCAGCACTGCCTGTCCGTGATCGGCTAACCGCCGCAGAAACGCGCAGATGGTCCAGGAGCTCTGAGAATCAAGGCCGCTGGTCGGTTCATCGAGAAAGATGAGCAGGGAGGGCTTCGCCGCAAGTTCCACCCCAATGCTCAGCAGCTTCCTCTGTTCCACGTTGAGTCCCTCGCCGGGAGAACCGACCACTGCTTCCGCAAACTCATGCATGCCCAGCATTTGAATCACTTCCTCGACGTACTGGTACTTGTCTGCCTTGGACACGGATCGAGGCTGGCGCAGCACAGCACTGAAGCGCAGCGCTTCTCGGACTGTAGTTGTGCCAAGGTGAAGGTCTTGCTGCTGGACGTAGCCAGCTCGTCTCGGAAACCCAGAAGTAGTCACTTGGCCATTGACCAGGATATCACCGGATACGACTCCGATGGAAACCCTCTGCGCAAGAACATCCAGGAGCGTGGTTTTACCGGCGCCAGATACTCCCATGAGCGCAGTTAGTGTCCCTGGTTTGACCCATCCACTGACATCGTTCAGTAGTCGGCGTGTGCCCTCTTTAACGGGAATGTCATAGTTGAGCGCTCTCCATGTGAGAACGTCTCCATGTCGAGGCAAGTGACCCATCTTGTCGTCGCCGGGAGTCGGGAAAACAGACGCGCGGTCTTTTTCTGGTGCCTCAACATCGCCATGATAAAGACGCTTTGGCGCATGCCCGGGGCGAAAGACTAGAGCCTCGGCCTTGGAGGGTCTCCCCTTGTTGAACTCGGTGGCGGTCAGATATGTAACGTGGAAGAAGACAAGGAAGGCAACCAGAATCCCATAGTTCCGCCACAAGTGAGAGTATTGATAACCATAGTTTGCCCTTAGAAATGCATCGCCAGCAATCGACCGTTGGCCAGGCACCGCGCCGACGGCAGCACATGTGAACGAGTTCCCAGTTCCGTAAGGCGGAACAAGCTGGGCGCAGCCAAACTCGCGTCCGTGGAATTCGTTGCTAAGGAGAGCTTCAAAGGCGTAAAAGATGGGGTTGATCCAACGAATCCACGCGAACCAGGGGTGCATATACGACTGAGGTATCATGAAACCACTGTATACCACTAGGGCAAGTATCAGGATGCCGGCGACTCCCATGGCTTGGCCGACTGTTCTTGTAGCCGCCGCCGCGGAGCGGAAGATCCCAGACATGACCAGGACGGTCGTGATGAGGAAGAGATAAAAGACGAAGAACGGCCCAGGCTCCGCGCGCAAGCCCACGAGAAAATAGAGCACGACGCTAAACAGGGAGCAGCGCAGAAACTTTATCGGCAAGTCTATGATGGAGCTTGCCAGGGCCTCGGTGAATGGGTGCACAAAGGCATATCTGGCCTGCTTTTCGACGATTGGCCTCTGGCTATAGAGCTGCATGATCTCGTTGATGGTGATGAGGGCGTTGATGAGGACGGCAAAGAAGAGGACGGCTCCTTTCTGGAAGAAGGCGTCGCTGGTGTTGGGCGAGTTGTAGAAGATGGACCCGATGATGAAGGACAAGACGAGCTGGACAATGACGGTGGACATGGTAGTCGGCATGTCGTTTCGCATGCGCTGGGACGCTCGGCGCAGACACAGGCGAATCTGCATCGGGAGAGAGAGCAGATATGGACTCGAGGCCCGCGTGTGTCTGGCCTGCTGCTTCTCGTGGCTCTCTTGAAACCTTTGCCCGGCCTTGCCGTCGAGCGGGTGCGCGCGCTCATACGCTTCCATGTCGGCCTTGAGCTTTGCAGCCTCCTTGCTGCGCCTCCAGTATTCCGCAAACTCTGCCGCCGTGCGAGGCACCTTGCCCTCCATGCCTGGCCGCGGTGTGCGTTCGCCCGGGCTCGTGATGCCCGTCAGAAAGTCTGATGCGACTTGTCTGGAGTCGCGATGCCAGCCCATGTCTTCAAAGTACGCAACCGCGTCGCCGCATGGGCCAAAGAAGATCTCGCGGCCCTCGTACAAGACGGCGACCTTGTCGAAGAGGCCGTACATGGACTGCGAGGATTGGTACGCGGCAACAGCGTGACAGGCTCGGCCCAGATCGGCCGACAGCCGCAGGGACTTGATGAACTGAAGTGCCGTCGCCGCGTCAAGGCCCCGAGTGCTGTTGTCCCATGCTCCCACGCGGGCTCTGGAGAGGAACATTTCGGCAATGCTGACTCTCTTGCGCTCGCCGCCGCTGACGCCGTGGACGAAGCTGTCGCCGACCTTGGTGTCAAAGGTGTGCGACAGACCGAACACGGCCATGACAACACTGACCATGGTGTCGACATACTCTTGTCTCGTCAGGTCGGGGGGGCGCTGACGTGGTACACGGGCGGCCGCGGCAAAGGAGAGGGTTTGGCCAACTGTTAGATGCGGGAAATGCTCATCTACTTCCTGGTTGTAGGCAACCTCGCCGCGGTACTGCCTCGTCATCTTGTTGAAGCCGATTCCCTGATAGTGAATGTCGCTTTCGGGCTCGAGAGTCAGCCCTTCCAGGTGTCCGCACAGCGCCTTGAGAAAGGTTGAGCAGCCGCTCCCAGGGCGGCCCAGCACGAGCAGCAGCTCGCCGCTCTTGAGCAGGCCGTCAACACTGTGAAGAATACGTCGAGGGCGGCTGCTCTTGGCCCTGCCCAAGACGGCGAGGGCGAGAGACCGAAATGGAAGCAGCAAGCTGGAGACTACAGTCTCCTGGAACCGCAACGGGGACCCAGACCCCGACACGGAAAGATTCGAAAAGACCACGCCCTGCCGCTCTAGAGTAATGCCCGAGTTGTTGAGAGACGTCAGGGCTCGTTGCGCCCAGCGGTAATGGTCAAATGTCTCGCTGGTTGGGTCAAGCCGGGGGTCGTCGTCATTGTCGGACAGGTCGGAGTTGTTTTGTGTTGCAAGACTCTGCTTTTCTCTCAGGTCGGACGCAATGCGCACCAGGTTTTGTAGTTCCTGGCGCTCGAGCACTTCAGATGGCCCTCGTTTGCCCGGCGTGGTCTCCCGTCCAGCCATGGCGCGCGTGTTGCTCGAGCCGGCCATTTGCTACTACGCACGTATCGACCGCCGCCACACAAGGCACTTGTCCGGCATCTTAAGTACTCTGGCCTTCTGCATGGGAGAGAAATTTTGCTCCGTCATCTGGCACAGCACATGGCCACGACCTGATGGATGTTGTTGCGACGGGACTTGGAGTCGCCGACATGCCGATGGGGGAGGGGGACCAATCGAAGACCGGACATGGTGCGCCGTGGCTGAACTTTCAATCCTGTAAAAAAAAAAAAAAAAACAAGTGTCCTGTATATAATTCAATGCAATGTGCGACCAATTTTATACTAAAAACCTAGACTACTCCTACACGATGGTGTTTGGCCCTGCCTCTATATAACATACAACGTCAGGCTCGCTCATCGCTCCTGCCGTGGTGTCGTCGAGCATGCCGGCCGTTGCGGCCGCACCGGGCCAATGGGAGCCCCGCTTCATCCGCCGCGCCCGACCTCTCCGATCCTCCGACCCTCCGCAGTCCGAGCCCGAAAAAGAACGGGTCGTCTTCCGGCGCGCACGGCATAAAACCAGAAGGGAGGTGCGCGCAACAACAGGTGCTTTTTCTCTATGGATTCGCACCGTTCAAATTTGCACAGTCCTCTTGCCGGCATCTTGGCAGTGGTCAAAGTAAGCAAGTGACTCATTTTGTGCTGTAAGGTGGATACTACTTTGGCAATATTATCTTGCAAAATATATTATACGATCCGATAGACAAGACTCAATATACAGAGGCGGCGTGTCAGTTTCAAGCTTTGCAATAGTATAGTAGGCTCCTATATTAACGGACCGCTTGCATAATCAAGTATTAGTGTCCCACCATGGATGCTTCTAGATAGATGAAATCAAAAATAAGCGGTGTTATTGAATTTTTCATCATCCTCGATCCGACCTACGTGGTAATGCATTGCAATTGCCAGTGTCCCACCTGGCGAGTCGGTACAGGACCAATGTCACGTCCCGCTCCTTCGCAACGATACAACAACACGGGAGACCAAAGGGAATAAACCTCACAGCCTGCTCCCATTTCTGCTCTTGGCACCGTGGCCACACCCATCATGATTATCAAACCTGCCACCCCTCCCGGCTCCGCCGTCAAACCTCTTGGCCCCGGCCACGCCCTCGTCCAGAATGACCTTCTCGCCCCGTTCAAACTCGAACCTCAAGGCATCCTCCAGCCCCTTGGCATCGTAGGCGCTGTAGCGCGCCGAAACCAAGTCGGCCCGCATACACTTCTCGGGAAACCCCAACAAGGTGCCAGCCAGCCTCCTCGCCTCCCGCAGGGCCTCCCCCTTGCCCGCAACCACCCTATTCACCAGCCCAAAGGCCAGCGCCTCGTCCGCGCAGACCGCCCGCCCCGTAAGGATCATGTCCATGGCCCTGCCTAGTCCCACAACCTTCTGAAGGCGGACCGTACCCCCATCGATGAGTGGGACGCCAAAGCGACGGCAAAACACGCCAAACACGGCCGTGTCGTCGGCCACTCGCACGTCGGCCAGCAGGGACAGCTCCAGCCCTCCTGCCACGGCGTGCCCAGAGACGGCCGCGATGATGGGCTTGGTGAATGCCATGCGGGACGGTCCCATGGGCCCGATGGCGCCGTTGAGGCGGTCGACCGGCTCAGCAGCAGAGGCGTGCTTCCTGGCCAGCTCGGGCGGCAGGGCGCTCGCGGCGGCCACCTCGTGTAAGTCGTACCCTGCGCAGAACGAGTCCCCTGCGCCGGTCAGGACGCACACCTTTTGTGACGAGTCATTTTCAAACGCGCGGAATGCTTCGGCCAAGTCAGCGGCCGCCGCGCGGTTCACCGCATTGCGGACGTGGGGACGGTTGATGGTGATGGTGGTTATGCCCTCGAGGGACGGCTCGTAGAGCACCGGCTTCTCCTTCTCTGCCATGGTCGCCTGACTCTCCGCAGGCTGGTGCAAACTGGCCTCGCCGCGACCAAATTTCAATAAATCAAGGGCGCGTGTCCAGTTTTGTGACGGATGCCAAGTACGATGCCGAGGCTAAGAGAACACGCTTTCGAGTGGCGTCGCCCCCTCTCCATTCTCTGACCCCGGTTCATTCCCGGTTGCTCATCTTGATGTGCGTTGCTGTGTTTCGTGCGCCCAGGACGAATCACCGCCCTGGCGATGCATTAGCTATCCTGTCGTCGACGTCAGGCTCGCTGCAAGACGCGGCTTGTAAATCAAAACACGGCGTTGACGCTATGGTGTAACTGCATGGCTCTGTCGGGCCTGGGAGAATCCAATATCAAGCAAAGTACATATTTTTGAGGCGTAGAAACAAACCAAAACTTGGTCCAAGATTCAATACATTGCTCCCTCTGTACCTTGCATGAGCGGTAACCTGGTTAGCACGGATAGCACCCAGTCACTAAATTTGATTTGTCTCCTTGAATGCCCTGACCTTGGGTCATGTCACAAGTTCCACTTCAAAAGAAGAGTAAGAGCCATCTGTTTGTCTTTATCCCATGTTACAACACGGCGTGCCCAAACAAATCCTTCAGTGGCCCGCTGCCAGCATTTCGCTCCGGGGTTGTCGCGCCAGACGGAGGATTCGAGTCGCTGGAGCGTTGTTTATCGGGCGTATTGAGCCGTGGCGTCGAGTATTCCCCGATTTTGTCGCTCTGCATCCAGAAAGGATTGTCGAAGGGGCAACTCCACGGTTGCAGACAGTCGACCCAGTGGCGTAATTCGCTGGGGATGTGTGTGACTTCAGTGACGGCAGTCCCTGAGGCCTATCTGGGAACTGTGCAGGCACCAGGGTTGTGCTCGACTCTGGGAGCTGATCCTTCAACCCATAGCCGGTCGCCTTCGGGGGACTTCCTGCCCAACTCTTGCCCGATCCGTCCAGCTCTGAGTCATTCGTGGAGTCTCAACCAGGCAGAACCGACAGGTTTATGCCTGCCAATATTAGCGAAATCAAGGCCGTTAAATGAGGAGCATATTTATGAGTTCCTTCGATACTAATCAGAATACGACTTTCTCTCGCAACCCCCCTAAGGTGCCTGTAGAAGAGGTCGGATAACTTACTTGCAGACTGGATGGATTGGGTGTTGAAGTACTACTTCGATTGTAAAAGCACAGGTACGAATCGTGAGTATGTCGAGAGCACCAATCTCTGCGTTAGGGCGACTACAAGTCCCTTATTCCAGGCTAACTACTCCGTATGCGGTGATGGGATATACTCAATTTATCGGCTGTGGAATTCTAGTACTACGTGGTTGAAGCCTGATACCCAAGTCTAGAAGTGAGTGATGCGGTTGAGCTACTAGCGGCGTATCCATTATTATACAAGTTATTCGACAAAGGCACAGTGTCAGGGCTAAAAACACTTCCTGGTTAGCATATATCAGTACCTCAAAAGATTACTGTACAAGTCTAATGGGCGACATATTCTGTCACGATTGAGCAGCTATGGATTAAATTGAATAGTGACATCAGTCCTTGATTGAAGCTATCTGCAGAGGGATTTGGGGCCTTTTTCAGTTGACGATGACCTCAAATAGGCCGTTTTTAGGGGCCTCCGACGGCCTCAAACCAGTGTTGAAACAGCTTGTGCAGCAGCTAGTGTTTTAAATACAGGCCATTTCCGTCGACATATTCGATTCTACCGCGGAGCTTCGTGAACCCAATATCAACGGCCTTGCCTCGTGACTCCTGTAAGAGCATCGTGTGAGCGATATGCGATAGGCAGGTGTAAACCCACCCGGACTATGGTTGATATTGGCGCATAAGATGGAGCCGAGATGCCGCATGCAGGCAGGTTATTTGAATTGGGCGACCAGAGGCAATATTTGGCAGAATTATCGATTGAAGCTATTCTCAGCCAATATGACCAAAACTTGGAATTCTACCGTTGTCAAAAGCTGAGCGGTGAGGGGGGACCATCGGTCCCAGATTCGATGGCGATGCTCCAATGCCATTCACGGCGCTATAAGGTGAATGTAAGGCTTGTAAATTATCAAAGTTGTCCGGAACTGCCCGCATCTGAATCATTCTTTCGCGATCATTAATCGTAACTCGTTTCATTTTGGCTCGTCTATTTCCTTTAGCAAGGTCCTTTTTCATTATTCTCTGCTGACCAAGTTTCCTCACCTGTTTTGAAACCAGACTTGGACCTGTCGAGGGCTCAAACCAGGAATCTCCCGAGACAGTCGCTCCCTGAGGGTGGCATCAGGATGAGGCTGTTTCGCAAACTCGCCCATCAAAAATCTAGTTTGTTGTGGCGTAAGCCTGTTGAAAATTAGCAATCTATAATATGCTATAAGCCCTCAATTTGTAGGCTCTTGTTTTCTAAGGCCTCGGCTATACCTGAATCTTTTCATTTTGCGACGTGCCGCAATACGCTCCGCCACTGTTTGGTGGTAAAAATGAGAACCTCGATAAGGATCATGGGCATCATCATCGTACACGTCGAATTCGGCGTCCTGGCTCGAGCCTCGTTCTTTATCATCCCTCTCAGGTTGGGCTAACTCGGTCCCAGGAGTCTGGTAACCCTGAGATCTGTAAGGGTTGTATGCTTCTGTCAGTCGGGGGTAAGGAGATAAGTCTGTTCCCAGGCTGTCTCGGCTGATGGTGCCGGATGGCTTTGAACCGGTACTTGTGGTGCCATATAAAGAGGATGTCGGTCTGCCAAGCTGTAGGTTTGAATTTCCTAAGCTTCTCACTGCGTCATGAGTGAGACTTTCTATTCTCAAATCCTGGCTTTGGTATTGGTGCCTCATGGGCGTTGTTGACTTAGCCCCATGCCTGTCCAGGTTGTTTCTTGTGTCCAAAAATGGGCGTTGATAAGGGTTGGTTTCGAGACGAGAATAAGGATATTGTCCTTGCCATTCTGGCTCTAATGGCGATGGCAGGCTCTGCTTTTCGGACATTCGGGGACTCTGTGGGGGGCTTAGTGGCCGGCTATTTTGAAAGCAACTCCAGTGACTGTACTCTGTTGTATCACAGAGTCTGGTGATAATCATCGAGGGAGTTTCGCTTTTAGATTAATTGAGAGTCCCTTGGGCGTTGAGCTGCGTATATGGCGGAAACAGGCTCCCGGGACAGATACTTCGTCTTTCTCTCTCTGTCTCTCTCTCGCTCTCAACCTTTAGGACGTGGTAGTGACAGAACGTCGGCAGTGAGGTAAAGAAGGGAGAAACAAAAAGAAGGTGTTGTTTTATCTTGAGAACTGGGAATGAGCGTTACTTCCCACGACGGGCCAAAATAAATACCAATATTCTGGAGCTGTGGTCCAGGAGATGGATATGAAAGGAAGAGAAGTACAAGATGACACGAGTGTGCCTGGTCTCTCGTAAATAGGGCCGGGTCGAAAAGTCGTAGGTGTACCGAGAATTAGGCAAGACACTCGTGTAAGTAACCCAGCCTGGGGGATGTTGATAGCAATGGAAATCACAGGTGGGTAAAGCGGGCTCCTTGCAGTAATGCGACTCAACGGTTGAATCAGGGATGCTGGGGGATGCCGACTACGAAGTGAAGTCTTGTGTCTGACGATGTGAGGCAACTGTAACAAGCTGCCCCTAGGCTCTCTTGACTTGAGTCGGCATCAAGGAGAATTTCAAGCATTTGCTCACGCTCGTGGTCACTTGGTCATGTGCTATGCGTTCTGTCTTGCGAGGACTCGGGGCTTTAGGGTGATTCAGCGGCGTTCGTGTGGCGTGAAAGGAATCGACTCGAAGAGCTGTGGGGGACGAGGTAGTACCTTATGAAGGGAGTGGTCAGAAAGACGCGGTGGGACGTCCATGTACAGAGCTGGCTTTCGGATGGAGCAGCAGCCATCTCCAACCAGTTGGAGTGTCAACCTATTTCTCAGCTATGGCCAGCAATACGTTGCCCCATACCTCGTCAATATGTAATGTGGACACATGCTTTGATTTTTCATGCTTGGCTTAGGATTCAGCATATCTAGCAAGCCAAAATCTGAGATTGATTATACCCAAATGGATTTGCAACTGCTCCGTCGCCACCGTGAAAGGTGCGGAAGAATCCTAAAACGAGAAACGGGGCTCAAGATGCGTCTCTTTGGTAGCGCAAAACGGTTGGGCTGTGATTCCCGGAATTGGGGTCAATCTTTTGACCTCAATTTCGACGCACAATTCAGCACAATATGGGCGCTAGACTTAAATTAGCTGGATGTAACACACAAATGTAAGCAAAGACCTAATATTTTACATAAACCTTCGTTTATCCCTACTTATAATATACTAAGCTAGTAGGGGCAGCTTTAATGCTTATAAAAGGCTTAATTACTAAGATTTACGTGAAATCTTTTTAAAAAAAATATTAGTAAAAGGTTAAAATAGCTTCACGTTAATTTCTATAATTAAGGTAACTAATATTCTTTATTTTAATGAAATAAGCTTATTAATCGGCTTAAATA